ACCAGAGTACGTGAAGCCCCGTTACAATGACCACTTCCATGATACGTTCTTCTTTAGCAATCTTGATGGTAAGCGCACCATTTCCGTGTAGTCACGGGAGAGAGTGCACGTAGTTGGACAAATTAGCTCAAATCCTACTAATTCCGTGGCTTCGGCCACTCCACGATTGCTTTGGCCTTCTCATGGTCTGCATACACACTGTGTTCACCGACAGAACGACGGAGGACCGGTATTTCGTTAGCACCAAATATACATTTTGCAAGATTTGCTTGCAATGGATGTTCACACATAACTTTGATCACAGCACGGGGGTGCTCCAAGTGCATTTCTTCGGCAGATATGCCAAGCGAGCAAAAATATCGCGGATGTATATGCGGAGTGTCGCAGTGATCAAAACAGATGTGGGACCAATTGATTGAGCGATTCTTAGGCATTGAGTAGTCCCTGTGGTATCACAAACCATTCCCATAACAAATCTGATAGTGTACTTACAGCCTTTAAAGGGCCGTGCTCCTCCCTTATCAAGGTTTGGCGATATTCATCGACCAAATCAAGTACACTAAACTGCGTACAACCTGACATACGGTGGATAATGACATTCTTACGCGCAAAAGGGGTTTGCACGGGGATCGTCCGCGTTTTCAACTTGCTATAAGCGTAAGCGATACACCATTTACCATTTGATTTACGCATACAAAACGTCGGTGCGCTGCGAGGGGAATTGCTCTTCCACGCAAACCCAGCAGCTTGCTTATGAGCAAGGAAATCATCGATGTTCTCACATTTTCACGCGACAGTGGCCAGTTTCGAAGCACTGCATGCTTTGAACCAGGTTCACGATGAAGTACAAGTCGACATCCACGTTCGAATGAAAGACCAGAGGGTGGGTTTGCACTAAGGACGTTATCCTTGTATTACATAACAAGTAAAAACTAAGGGTCAGTCGGATACTTCAAAACAGCCGATCTTCTGTGTGACTCCACAAGCTGTCGTAATTCATCGAGAGCCGAGTCACCCTTACCTGATGATGAGCGTTGTTTCGCTAAGTCGACCTCCGCAATGTCATCACACATGATGCCGTGTGGGAAGTCATCGTATGTGAATTCCTCGGCCCGCACCAGCTTTTCCATCATCGGCAGCGGCGCCAAAAATCTGTTCTTGTAATTCCACAACCGGTCGTTGCACATACAATACGTGGGATATTATATTCGCATGCTATATCTCCATCATGGGGGTAGTACGCTGAATTATCTCACATGCAGACTCAACCGCATCTACAGCGAGGGTATCAGTCCACGACCAACAAACTCCATTGGTTCTATCGCATGTGTGTGCTCAACCACATAACAGGTCAAAACATCCCCTTTGTGGTCAGTTGTACATACTGACCTACAATCCGACTAAACCACTGTATTAGTCGGGGTATTGGTATATCCAGCCACAGTCAATTTCTTCGACATTTCATTACACACTTGTCGTCAACAATCTACTCTCTAGAGGAGGGCAACAACCGGCATCTCTCCTTCATAAATCTTTCCGTTGGGCAAATTCCCATGTCCACCAACGTTTCATTCGTTTCATGTGGCCAGTTCCGGGTATCACTTGATCTATCGACACACTTCTTGGGTGACCACCCGCGGCCACTCCATACAATTCCGTATCTTCCTTACCTGGGAAAATCAACTTGACATGTACCAATGAGGTGTGGATCTATTCCAGCAGCACACGACTGCCGAGCGCTTGAGCACTTATTCTGGTGCATAGTGAGAGTACCAAGAGTTTCACCTGCGTTACTCTCAATATTTTTTGATCGCCAAATGTTCCATAGCTCGTGATTCTCAAGCCATGATATACCTATAATCAGGTCATACGGTTCGTCCATCTCGGGGACTGTTTCGAGTAAAGATCTTCAAACTTCAGTTGAAGTTGAACCATAATCTTCTTCGCGGTGACCACCGCACCAGTATCCAGATTCACTTAGATAAAGCCATTGCTTCGATCTAGTGCATTCGAAAACTTGAAATTGTTTTCAGCAACACTTTGCTTCCGTACGCAGTTGCGCGACGCGCCGGAGTCAATCAAGACTTTAAACAGACGGCCGTAAGCCTTCATACGCACTGTGCCTGCCCCTTCTACTGGGCTCCGGCGTTTCCCGAACGCGTCGTGGTATTGGTACTGCGTTACTTGGAACCATTATGACGAGAGCCGTATTGAAAGGTTCATCCCTCACGTGGACAATAACAGCGGATGTGAAAAAATCGTTGACATCCGTAACCGCAAATTTGCTGCCTACGGACAGTCACCGCCCTAAAACCCATTGGTCCCGGAATTTTGATAGCAGCAACACTGCCTCCGCTTACCACATGTTTGACGCTGACAGTAGTCCTAACGCAATGTAATCATAATTGCATCTTATAGAGTCGTCGGTCTCTGGCGGTAGACTTCAGACTCAGGAGGACCAAAAGTGAGCCCCTCCATAAACACGGTGACCATCACTGCCTCTGACTGTGGTTCACTTGCCATACTGGCACGAAGCTCATGACTTCTGTACGACTATGTACAATGTGCCGTTGTCTTGGCGGCATGACTTAAACTTCGGCCGTTATCGAAACGCCACATTCGGTGGAAGGAAATCCGATTCCATGGTCTTTTTCAGCTCTTGCAATTTGGCAAAGCAGCCAGAGCTGTTGACTTCCCATGTCAATGCCTAATCCTTCGCAAGTTTGTCTTAATTTTAGCGCGACATTTCGTGTGTCAACACCACTTGTGGAGGAGGTAACGGAAGTCGGGAATATCTGCGATAGAAATATCAATAATCCTGTCTCGTACGTAGCAAAATTTGCTAAGCGTTATATCATCGTTTCTTGATCCACTTGAAACATATTGGAGAGCGCGTGATCTCCGATTACAGCTCGCAGCTTCACCACACACTCCAATTGCGAGAGTGTTAGAAACGAATATTCCTCCCTATTGATCCGAGGACGAACACCGCCTGTGGTGTCCCCATCGTGCCTGTCCGTGTACACACACTTTACAAGGAGAACTTAAGTCAACTGACACACCTCACAGCGTGTTGCTTGCCTCCAGCGAGCCGTTGACTCACGTAGAGAGGAGGAAATATGGAGTGAAAATTATTAACGGATTTTTACGAATAGAAGACCTTCTACTATTACAAGCCCCCATCGAATTTT